ATTACCCCCTCGAACAAAGTTTCACGTGGCTTACTACCACGATTTACGAGTCTCCCTCTCGAACTACGTTCATGTGACCCATTGTCATGATCCATGGGTCAGTTTTCGAGATTCACTATGTGCCACCCACATTATTAGAGTATTATGGCAACCGAAGCCCGCAACTAGCTTCTTCTTGTGTACGCACCGTCACGCACCATCATTTTGCCATCTCCACACTAGTACCACTGAAGCTGGGCTCTGATACCACTTGTTAGGCTAAAACGGCCCAAAGATACTCTTAACATAGTGTACTATCCATTTTGGACCAAGCCCGCACGGTTTTTCCCAAAAGCCCTCGCACCAGTAAGATATCCCTACACCTCATATGTAGGCTCCCAATTTTTTCACATACCAATGTGGATTTTGTTCGCACACCCAACAAATATTTTCTTTTTATACAGTTATTGAAAATGCAATACAATTGCCCCCCTCCCCCCTCCCCCCTCCCTCCCCCGCCGAAGATCTAAGGGTTCATCCGCAAGATTCGTCTACGAAAAGTTAGTCGCCTAGGACGTTAAGTAAATAATTTTGTACTGCTACTTGTTGGTCCCGAGGGATGAAGAAGGTTACTATTAGCCAAAAGATAATAATCTGTTAAAAAACATAAGGTGTTCCTGCTTTGATACCGAATATAATTACTACTCCATATTCAATAATGTGTTGGGAGATATTTCTATATCAATTTGTATCCTTGTTAGATAGCAAAAATAAGCATACTAGTATTCCTCTTCACTAACTTAAAAGTGAGGACGCGATAAGTCTTGTCCGTTGGGCAGCATTAAGGATAGCTATAGGTGAGTCTTTTCAATTAAAGTTAAACAAGAAAAGTTAGTAAAAAGAGTTGGCCAGGGCGGCTCAATGGATCTTGTAATTTCGGACGAAACTATATTAAGAGACCTTTAAATTTATTTTATAAAATAGTTACACTAACAATAAAATTTGCTTTGTAAACAAAATTAATCATTTAAGACAAAAAAATAACGAATTTAAAAAATATAAATTGGAAGAATAGCAAAAAAATTTTAGTGGTGAAATATCGCATACTGAGGTCCACAATTTTTGATTTGGCTATCATTACAAACAAGAAAAGGAAATAAACGTACATAACGTAATAGCTTAAGTTTTGAGGATTAACGGTGTAAAAAATATTTACTCTTCCTGATCAATGTAAGCGATAATTGTAGTTCATTCTATGAAGTACATTTAGCGGTAAATATCTAAAATAAATTATAAATAATCTAATATAATATGTCAAATTACACTAAAAGAAAATCTGTGCATGAATACTTTTGTGTTCATGCAGTTTCAAAGAGCATTGTAAAATAAATTGATTATGTTATCAATATATATAACTTAATTCCTATATAAAAAGAATAAAATTAAAATTAAAAAGTGAAGCAAATATGCTATTTAATCAGTGAAGAAAATTATCATAATTTATAAACTTATTGTATAAAATAACATCAATCAAATAATAATATATTGTATCACTTTTTTTATAGTATTATTTATATAAATTACTATATAATATATAGAATAATAATAAAAAGAATTTAAAATAATTTTAGGGCCTTCAAATTTTGAGGGCCTAAGGCATTGGCCTCACTGCCCAAACCTTTAGAGCCGGCCCGGAGTACGCTAATCACACCTCTTTTTCATTTTCTATATAATACTAGATGACGTACCTGTGCGATGCACAAGCCCAGTTGTTGCTCTAATTTCTTATTTTCTTCCTTTTAACATTTCTTGGTCTATTGCTAATTACACACTTTATAGGTCTTTAGGGAAAGTAAAAGAACATAGGCATTTGTGTAATAATGTATAGAACCACATTTGCCTGTATTATTTTTTTAAATCTTTTGCGTTATGTGTATTTTAATTTTTCTGAAAAATCGTATTACTATACCAATCACTTTGTAATACTTGTTGAAGTCTGATACTTTATTATACAAAAATTATATAATACTTCAAGTGCAATGTAGAGTATTTCTACATAGGTTCTACATTTTTATTTAAAAAAATAGTTCTGCACCACCAAACGTAAAATTGATTATAAAAAAATGATTGAAAAGTCAATTGAAAAATAAGTTCTGATGTATTTTCTCATTGTTTAATTTGAATATATATAGTTTTACTCTTTTAGTATTTTCAATTATGTTGATGCATTATTTTTCTTTTTATATTAATGAAAATTTGAATAATAAAACATATTCATTTTATTTTCAAATAGTTGACGAATTTTTTTTTGTTCTTTGAAATAATAATTGTAATTTTTAATGATTCAGAATTTTTTAACCAGAAAATTTGTATTTTATTCTAGTTTAATGACATATCTGAATAATTTATTAAAAATAAATTAATTTTTCAATCACTCTAAATACTAATCAAATTGACCTTAAATTGAAGCATTACAATATTTTTCTAGTCGGAAAAGGATTTAAAATGCCCCTAACTATTGAAAAAAGTTTAAAAATACCCTTCATCCACCTATTGAAAAAGGTTTAAAAATACCCTTCATCCACCTATTGGGCTAGAAATACCCCTCCATTCACCTTTTTGGTTCACTTATGCCCTTTGACCGTTAGGTCAATGCTGAATTAAAAATAATGCACCAGTCTATTTTTAAAACTTAAAAAAAATATTTTGCAAAATATTTTTTTTTAAACTAATGCACGAGTAATCCACTAATTTAGTAAAGTCTTCTTCTTTTTTTTTTTAGTTTTTACAAAAAATAATTTAGTTTTTACAAGAAAATATTTTTTTTTTCAATTTTTTTAAAGCATTTTTTTGTAAAAACTGAAAAAATTGGTTTTAATAAAATATTTTTGTTTTTTAATAACTGAAAAAATATTTTCAACAAAATTTTGTTTTGTAAAACTGAAAACAAAAAGAAGAAGAAGAAGACTTTACAAAAATTAGTGGACTACTGGTGCATTAGTTTAAAAAATAAAAATATTTTGCAAAATATTTTTTTTTAAGTTTTACAAAAAGAATAATAATTTATTTTTAATTCAGCATGGACCTAATGGTCAAATGGCATAAGTGAACCAAAAAGGTGGATGGAGAGGTATTTTTAGCCCAATAGATGGATGAAGGATATTTTTAAACCTTTTCCAATAGTTTAGGGATATTTTGAACCCTTTTCCGTTTTCTAGTTTCATTTGTTATGATTGTGATATTCTAGGGTGTAATACGACCTTCTTTACCATAATTATTTGTTGGGCTTTTTTAAAAATAGTTAATTTATATTTATGTATTATGAAATTTATATAATATTGTATTATTTATTAAACACAGAAGAAGTACCCAACTAACTTTATATAATAGTTAACTTATATTTATGTATTATGAAATTTATATAATATTGTATTATTTATTAAACACGGAAGAAGTACCCAACTAACTTTAATCATAGAGGGAAAAGTATAATCCTGCAGAATGATACTTCTTATGTTGCCCAATATATAATAAAGCAAAAAAATTCCCCAAATTAGTTGTCTTAATCTTTTGTTTAGATTATTCTCAAATAATGTTTTTATAGAGGGAATCATTTCTATACAATTTGAACAATATTTAATATTCTATAATAAAAAAGAAAGTTGAATCTCTATTTTATTCTTAAATTTTTTTTTCTAATTTATAAACTATTCCAATTAAAATTGTAATTTAATGAGAGATTGTTTAAAATTTTATCAATTGATACTAATATAAGAACACCTTAATAAAAATCCTACATAATTTATTGTCACTTTTTTAAAAAAATAGTCTTTACCTAAAATAGTCAATAAATAAAACAAATGAAATAATATTTCTTAAGAAGATAATAGAATTGTTGTATATAAATGTATGTAACCATAGTATGTTTTTAATCAGATAAATGTTGAATTATAAAATTACCAAACAGATAATTTTTTAGTTAAAAGTACTAATTGAAAAAACGAAATTAAAGGTGCCAGGTAGTCTGCTTTCAAACAAAAGATAGTTAGGGAATAGGATGTGGGGTCCACATGAATAATTCAGTAGTTTGGGCTACGTTATTTTTGATTTTTTTCAACATTAGAAACCATAATCAAGTCAGCAAAGGATGAAATTATATTTTTAAAATGACCATAATGCCCTTGGTCGACCTCCTCTTCTCTCTTCTACTCCCTCCGTTCCAGTTTATGTGTACCTATTTCCTTTTTGGTCCGTTCTAAAAAGAATGACCCCTTCCTAAATTTGGAAATAATTTGGCCTAAACTTACAATTCTATCTTTAGTGAGAAGCTTTTATAACCACAAAAATACTCTGGGCCCCTTTCTAACTTGTTTAGGACCACAAGCAAAAGTCTTTATTTTTTCTTAAACTCTATGCCCAGTCAAACAGGTTCACATAAATTGAAACGGAGGGAGTATATAATAGGAAAAAAACAACAACAACTAGGGCATTCAATATATAGTGGAGCACCATGGTCAAATATAAGTCCCATTTAATTTACTCTACGTTGCGAACAATTGAGTGAAGTTATTAGCGATGATTCCTATGTTTTGGATTGACCAAACAGAGAACTGCTAAACAAAATACAGTACATGCATAAAGACAACCAAGACTGTGGGTCAGAACGGGCGCAGGACACGAGCTTCTGTTTACACGTTTCGTAACTAACGATCAACCCGACGTTGAAAAGTCATCTCAGTAATAAAGTCAGGCTGCAAAAGCAATAACTCTTTACGCCGTTTATTGCTCCGTCAGCTTTTTAGTGGGCCCACGATCATACGTGGAAATGTTGGTAGGCTCCACAATGAAACACCACGTGTACAGCCTAGTTACTTTTTGGTCAGAACGGGTAAAGAGTGTGTCAGTACTATTGTGACACGTGAGTATCACACGCTCGAAAAGGTATAACCCAAGCCCCACTTCTCCCCATTTTGATTGATCCACATTTTCCCTATTTTAGTCCCCACTTTATATTTACCATTGAAAATGCCACTACTTTTCTCCAAAGTCAATATTTAAATATATTTTATTAAAAAGAAAAGTGCAGCAGAAATAGTTCTTTGATCCAGGGGCTCCTCCAGCTTATTGGTATGTTACGTACTCTTTTGTTTCAATGTTTTTTTTTTTAATTAAAAAATTATGTTTATCAATTCATTTTACTTTCTGCATAAATATTGCTGTTCCGGTGAAGGAAATAGTCTTCTTTCTGCGATAGAAGAGTACAAATTGAATTAGTTGAACATCTGTCTCAGCAAATAAAAACAACTTGAACAATCAGTGGCGGAGCCATAATTTTCATTAAGGAGAGTCAATATATAACAAATAAATTCATCAAGAAGTTAAGGGTGTCATTATATAGTATAACTACATATTTTTTTAAAAATTACCGAGCTAAACAGTGTAATTTTCCGACGAAGGGATTTCGGTTGACACTCCTTGGGTGCATGTGACTCCGCCACTATTGACAATTTAAAATATACTTTTCAGGTGATTAAATTTAAATATTATTTAATGGACAAAAATAATATAAAAAATTAAACCCAATCTATGTTGTAATATTATATTAAATCAATTCATAATTAAAAAGTATCTAAATGGAATCCGAGTTTGATTAGCTATTTTACAAGAGACATGGGTTACATATGCGCCAGCTTACTTTGTTCTTTCGTACAGTATTTTAGTTCGCAATATATTCTCTTTTGCCTTCTCAAATGATGATACAAACATCTGTTATAATATTATTATTATTATAATCCTTATACTGCCTAAACAGAATGAAGTGTAATATGTAATTATTTTAAAAAAAAGATTTTATGAGCTGATTATTAATAAATTGAGCATAGGGACTAGGAAGAAATTAACAATTAAGTGGTTTATTTAAGTAGGATTACTTTTTGTCCCTTACGTATGCAGGACCATAAGGAGATAGAGATTCTAATGTCCTAAATTATTGTTGAGCTCATAAACATTCCAAATAAATATCTTACATTAGCATATTAGATCTTTATAAGGACCACTGTAGAATGTGGTGGAGCGGTAAATAATTTTATTCAAGCTTTGGGTATAGAATTGTTTTTGGTAAAAAAAATACTTCATCCTTAAAGTAGGATTTTTCGGTGCAAATTCAAATTAATCAAATCTAAGTGGCCATTTGAACATAAGAATTGTAAAATTCCTAAAAAAAAAGTGAAATATTTTTTCAAGTGAAAATGATATTTGAAAATTAGAGTTGTGTTTGGACATGAATATAATTTTGGGTTGTTTTTGAAGTTTTGTGAGTGATCCGAGTGAAAATTCTGAAAAAATAGTTTTTTGGAGTTTTTCAAATTTTAGAAAAAATCCTAAATTTATCTTTAAGTGAAAATCGAAAATTTTATGGTCAAACACTGATTATGCGAAAAAAAATTAAAAAAAAAATTTATGTCCAAACGGGCTCTTAAATTAGGTACTGAACACCTGGTGAAAAACCAAATAAAAGATGTTTTATCAGGGTTATTTCAGGACAAAGACATATACAGGTCACAAGCTTCCAAGAACATATTCATTCTTGTCTAAAATAATTGAATTCGTTGTCCTCTCAAATCAGTGATTTAAGTCAAGGTGCTTTTTAATTTTAGGAGACTGGTAACACTAAATATAATAAATACATCTATTTGTTTATTTATCATTTTTCTAGGTCTATTATATATACCTTTTTTGCTCTTCCTAGCCAGAAATCTAATTTTATTTAAATCATCCGTCATGCATATAAAGTTGTCGCTCCACTTGGTCTGATGCTCCAACTTGGTGACATCTAAAAAGGCGAATAGTATTTAGTTAGAAAAAACTTAATTACTCGAATCCCGTGCTAAATTATGCAAAATTATTATGGTTAAATAATAAATTGAGTTAATATGTTCTACTCCTATTAAATAGTAGGGCTGCTTATCAGGCGGATTGGGCGGTTATTTACTCTTAACGGTTTGGCTTATCGGTTATCGGCTTTTAAATGTATTAATCTGCTAGCTGCCCGATAAGGTATTGGGCGGATTGGTATCGGTTTAGCTCAAATCGGGCGGTTGATTTGCCTAGCAAAATTATCAATGATTCTAGGAATCCAGCAGTACTACCAGAAGAAGGAAAATAAGCAAAAAAATTAGGACTTGACATGACTTCGGTTTAATAAAGAAGACAAGAAATGGCTACTCTTCGCGCTTCTCTTCGACAACAGCTTCCTCTTGAAATCATTAAGGTTTGTGAAACGTGTGTTCCCTTTTCTTTTGTTTTCCCAACTTTCCCTCGATCGCAGAAATCGTATTGCACTAATTCTACAAGAGAAGCCAGGTCTAGTCTCATTAATTTCTCGGGGACAGATCTGTTGTTTCATCTAATTAATGTTCATAAAATATAAGCAATTTATGTATGTCATTTTGCTCCGAAAGTAATAGATAATGAATCAATTTCTTTTATCTTTGTTAGTGTTGTAATAAATCAGAATTTTTTTATTCAACTTCTTTTTCCAGTTAAATTGAATATATTCCTATACTCCTATTTAGGAGTATAGGATTATCCGTTAAGAAAATTAAATAATTCGCCCCCAAACCGATAAGCCGTTAATAAAAAAATTTCAATCCGTTCCCCGTCCGTTAAGCCGTTAAGCCGTTACCAGTAAGCGATTAAGCTTCGGTTCAGTTCGGTTTTCGGTTTCGGATCGGTTTTGAACACCCCTATTAAATAGGGGTATTATCAGTTTTAGCCCGTGCCATAATCTATTTACTGCCAAAAAAGTGTATAAAATTATATTTTTTCGACTATTATTTTTACAGCAGCTATACAATGTCATTTTCTATTAAATATTAGAATTAAGTAAATTTTCGTTAACACATACATATTATACATTTATTGATGTGTTGTGTGCACCGTGTGTGAATAGGCATTTCCGTTAAATATAATACTTCATACTTTAGGAAAAAATAAATAAAAGAGACTAATAAATGCAAGTAATTGAAGAGGCTCTTTTTTGGAAGTAAAATAAAAATTTCCATAGGATTTGTGCAGTTGTTAATGTGTTCAAATGACATTAAGAAAATGTTCACATTTTTTCAGTCATTTCCATTTAAATCAAACCAATTGAGTTTGGTTAGATAAATCATTTCGGTCTAGCTTTCAATTCAAGTATTCATGAAAAGGATGGTTATGCTTTTTTTTAATTTAAAAAAAATTCATTAACGAGCACAATAAATAAATATTCCACACACATTTATCCCAAAAAGAATATCATCTTTTTATATTTAAAAATAATTTAATTTTAAATTTCTTATTTTGGTTGTAATGTCCATTCCTTGATAAAGTTATGTGGTGCTTTCGCGGGTGGGAAATAGTATGTACCCTATTATAAAAATAGTTATAGTTTGTTTTAATTCATTCTGTACACTTTATAAAAAAAAAAAACTTCAAACTATAATTTGTTTTAAGATTATAAATTAAAAGTTTTTTTTTAATCCTATAAAATGAGGGGAGGGAATAGTACTTTGTTTATAAATAAAGGGTGATTTAGTAATACTAACTCACTTTTGTCTTCCTACAGCTTATATATACATAACGACATCAAAGTACAGAAGTTTGTCAGAGAATTAGCTTAGCTTCTTTAAAAACAGCTCAATGTCTACCAAGAATTCCACCCCCACCACTATCCCACCACTACCACCGTCAGCCGCCGGGAAGTTGAACGGAGAGCCACCATCTGATCACGAAAGATGTCCGGTGGAGGAGGTGGCGTTGGTAGTTCCAGAAACAGACGACCCCACTTTACCTGTAATGACATTCAGAGCATGGTTTCTTGGACTGACTTCATGCACTCTCTTGATTTTTCTCAACACTTTCTTTATATACAGAACTCAGCCTTTAACTATTTCAGCTATTCTCATGCAAATAGCTGTGCTCCCAATTGGGAAATTCATGGCTGCTACACTTCCTAAAAGGAGTTACACTCTGTTTGGGAGATGGGGTTTTAGTTTAAATCCAGGGCCATTTAATATCAAAGAGCATGTTGTTATTACAGTTATGGCCAATTGTGGTGTTTCCATTGGAGGAGGTGATGCTTATTCCATTGGGGCTATTACTGTTATGAAGGCTTATTATAAGCAAAGCTTGAATTTCCTTTTTGCTCTTCTTATTGTCTTGACCACTCAGGTACATTTCATTTTATTATACTCTTTTACTTGTGCATAACTAGTTAAATTGTTGCCATGTCACGGTTCGAGCCGTGGAAACAGGCTCTTACAGAAATGCATATAAGGTTGCGTATAATAGACCTTGTGGTCCGACCCTTCCTCGGACCCGCGCATAGCCCTCCCTCGGACCCCGTGCATCGCGGGAGCTTAGTGCACTGCTTTTTTACTTGTGCATAAGTGTAAATTAAAGACATATATTTATAATCTGAAGTTTGTGGTTAAAGTTATATTGAATTTTCCTTCTTGAAAGCTTCAGTGTTTGATTTGAGTTGGAGTTGGTCACTAAAAGACAAAAAGGATAAAGGGAAAGCGTTGAAGTTAAGCATACTATATACATCAAACTGTAGTCTATTTGTCTTGACTCGTTTCAGTCTTTATTCTTGTAATTTGAATTTCATGCACTTGGTATGGGGGAAAATATTTTACTTGGGAAAAGGATTTCTGGATAGTTTTCCAGCATTTTGGTTGGTTTTAAATGTATGAGACATATATTAACCGTATAAATTGGAGGATTAAGGTGTGATGTTAGTACTTTGTGATATTTTTGAGTATTAAAGGTTGTCAATAGAGACTGATAGTTTAAGTAAGTGATAATGAGTAAGAGTTTTGATATTTGTAATCGAAAATGATTTTCACCAACAAGCAAGAAAGTCATTTTTTCCATTTTGATGGAATGTATCTTCTGTGGAGAAAACATTTTCCACAGTTTGATGTAACCAAACATTTACCAAAAATATTTTACATGAAAACATGTTCCATCACAAATCCAGAAAGTTTATGTTTCTGATAATATATGTATTTGTGCAGCTAGTGGGGTATGGATGGGCTGGGATGTTGAGGAGATACTTGGTTGATCCTGTGGATATGTGGTGGCCGTCAAACCTTGCTCAAGTCTCCCTATTCAGGTTCCCCTTCTGTTTGTTCATCGCCTTTGCACCTGTGGCTCTCCTTTTGTTAAAAATAATATTCAGTACCATCTCAAATGCAACACAAAGATAGCAATATATATGATGTTTATTAACACTAAATTCTTAACTCAATATATATGATGTTTATTAACACTAAATTCTTAACTTTGTCTTGATCAAATCTGAGTTCTTTCATTTCTATTCTACTGGATTGGGGGAAGTGCTTGAATGAATCTTATTTAGGTTTTCTGAGCGGTGGTATGACACAAGTCCATTTGGTTTATGCACTGTTTTAACAATCTAGTGGAGGTAATACATAACATAACATAGCACAAATAACTGCATGCCATGGTTATCAGTGAAGGTGAAAAGTGTCAACCAAGAATATACAATATGTTTCAATTTCATAATGTCTGATGAGACTTCTTGCCGCAATATCTGTAAATATAGTATAAATTGAAAGATCTCTTATGAGAGATACTGCTGGTGCTTCATTGAACAGTTTTAACACAAGTTACCAAATTGCACAATGTTATATTATCAGCTCTTTGTGATCTATTTTGTGCTTTTTATATATATGACTTTCCTCATAACAGGGCACTTCACGAGAAGGAACAAAAAACAAGAGGCTTGACAAGGATGCAGTTTTTCCTTGTATTTATGGCTGCAAGCTTCGCATATTACGCTTTCCCAGGCTATCTATTTCCGATTTTAACCTTCTTCTCATGGGTTTGTTGGGCATGGCCACGTAGTATCACAGCTCAGCAAATTGGCTCTGGATACCATGGCCTTGGCGTGGGTGCTTTTACTCTCGATTGGGCTGGTATATCAGCATATCATGGAAGTCCGTTAGTGACACCATGGACCTCGATTCTTAATGTTGGCATTGGATTTATCATGTTCATATACATCATCATTCCTCTATGTTACTGGAAGTACAACACTTTTGATGCCCGGAAGTTCCCTATCTTTTCAAATCAGCTGTTCACATCTAGCGGCCACAAATATGATACCACTAAGATCTTGACCCCACAATTTGATCTCAACATTGCTGCTTATGAAAGTTACAGCAAGCTCTACCTCAGTCCTTTATTTGCCCTCTCAATTGGATCAGGATTCGCAAGGTTTACTGCAACCCTCACACATGTTGCACTATTTCATGGCAGGTTGGCCTTTCATAAAGCTTTATATACATTCATCTTGTCATTTTTACTCTTTATGTGTCTTACTTTTCCTTTTAATCTGTTTCAAAAAGAATGCCTCTTTCTATATTTGGTAACTCTTTAACTCTAACATTCCACATAGCATATTTAAGACCACAAGATTCAAGAGCATTTTGGTATATTACACACATCTTTAGTTTAAGACCACAAGATTTAAAAGTCTTCCTTACTTTTCTTAAACTTCATGCCTGCTCAAACTAAGACACAAAATAAAATGGAGGGAGTAATACTTAGAAAGTTGAAGTTATCTTCGGCTGTCTGACTCCAGGGTTTGTCTCTTAATCTTGAAGATGAAATGAGATCCATTGCTTAGTTGCATGCTCTGTCGAAGTTCCTAGATGTCGGTACCACCGTAGTAGGGCTAAGATTGAATGGATATGCATTATGTTAAATACTAATACCACTATACACCCTTATAAAAAAAACTAATACCGCTAGACAGGTCTAGGATAGTGTCAGTTATTGTACACCTGCAAATATCAAAGAAAGAGTAAAATTGCTTAAGTTTGGTGTGTAGAGCAATTTAAGTGGCAAGACATTTTTAAGAGAGAAACAGCTCTAATGAACGTGGTGTTAACAATCTGCCATGATTTTACCTTGGCCAGTGATATCTGGAAGCAAAGTAGATCTGCTGTGAAGAATGTCAAATTGGACATCCATGCAAAATTGATGAAGAGTTACAAGCAAGTTCCTCAGTGGTGGTACCTCGTATTATTGTTCGGTAGCATAGCCCTTTCACTTCTGATGTGTTTTGTGTGGAAAGAAGATGTGCAGCTGCCATGGTGGGGTATGCTGTTTGCGTTTGGTCTTGCTTGGATTGTTACTCTCCCTATAGGAGTCATACAAGCGACTACCAACCAGGTGACTTGAATGTTAAAGTGCTATTCCAATCTTGACCCTATAGGAGTTCAATTCAGTGACGAACTTGTAATTTCAATGCAGCAACCTGGATATGACATAATTGCACAGTTCATAATTGGTTACATCCTCCCAGGAAAACCAATTGCGAACTTGATTTTCAAAATCTATGGCCGGATCAGTACCATTCATGCTCTCTCCTTTTTAGCCGATCTTAAACTTGGTCACTACATGAAAATTCCACCACGATGCATGTACACAGCTCAGGTTAGTAAATTCTTTCTCTGCTTTGAACGATTCAAACTAACGTGTTTGCAAGGATGTCCTAGTTTCCACTTCATTCTTCTTCATTCCCTTTCTTCCAGCTTGTGGGGACACTGGTTGCCGGAACAGTAAACCTTGCAGTGGCATGGTGGATGCTAGGAAGCATCGAGAACATTTGTGATGTTGAGACTCTTCATCCTGACAGCCCATGGACCTGTCCAAAATTCCGAGTTACATTTGACGCTTCTGTCATATGGGGTCTAATTGGACCAGAGCGATTGTTTGGTCCTGGAGGATTATATAGGAACTTGGTATGGTTATTCCTCATTGGTGCAGTGCTGCCGGTGCCTGTTTGGGTGCTAAGCAAAGTCTTCCCTGAAAAGAAATGGATCCCATTGATCAACATACCAGTTATATCTTATGGTTTTGCCGGAATGCCACCAGCCACGCCAACCAATATCGCTAGCTGGCTCATTACCGGAATGATATTCAACTATTTTGTATTCAAATACCGGAAAGAATGGTGGCAGAAATACAACTATGTTCTGTCAGCTGCCCTGGATGCTGGAACAGCTTTTATGGGTGTTTTATTGTTCTTTGCTTTGCAAAATGAGGGCAAAAACTTGAAATGGTGGGGAACTGAGTTAGACCACTGTCCCTTGGCAACTTGCCCTACAGCCCCTGGGATTGTAGTGGCAGGATGTCCAGTTTTCAAGTAGCCCACAAGAGAAAAAATGATTGAATATTAGTATTAGACAAGTTTAGTCTTAAACAAGTCTAAACTGGTGTAAGTTATTTATAACAAGCATTGATGTAATTTTGAGTATAACTTGTAGCTTTGCGCCATGTAAATGATTTGATTGTCAATCATTAAGCAATTCAATGAGTTTCCTCCTTCTCAAGTGCTAATATTTTTCAACTAATATACAGTCAGACCTCTCTATAACAACATCCTTATATAACACTTATTTTATTCCGAAAGCAAATGTAATACATCAAATGCAAGCGTTGGACTCCAATCGAGCGAAACATAAGCTTTGTAGATTATTGGCTCTAGTTTTCTTCTATATATTTGGTTTTTTAGTGATAGATATTGCTTCTATATAGGACTAATATAATTGTAAGGCGAAATACATAAACAACCCCTTCAAGTTGTCCTCAACGACCAGCTGAACATCTCAAGTGAGCCTATTTTCAATTAGACCCTTTATTTATTCACAATAGAAGATCAACTAAACACCCGACCATGTTAGCTCCCATTGCGTGAAATCCACTCTCTAGGACGCGAGTTGCCAACCTAAAATTAGGTTTTTTTTTCTTTTTTTTACTAAAATAATGTGGACCCACTTAATTTTCATACCCCCTTCTCCTCCAATTCTCTCCTCCACCATTCAATACCCTCCTCTAACCCTAAATCACCTTTGCCTCCATTACAAAAGAACAAAATTACCAAATATATCATCACATCAAATTCAACAAATTTAAAGTTAGTGAAGAAATAATTGCCAAATGAACGATTGATCGAGCAAGAAAATCAGCAAAAATGTGAAGGGTAATCTGATAGTAACTCCTGTAATTAAAGGGACAATTCTGCCTGGTATTACGCGAAAGAGCATAATCGACGTAGCTCTTAGTCAAGGATTCCAGGTTGAGGAACGACTGGTGTCCGTGGATGAATTGCTTGATGCTGATGAAGTTTTTTGTACGGGAACAACAGTGGTTGTATCTCCTGTGGGTAGCATTACTCATCAAGGGAAAAGGGTAACATATGGAAATAACGGGGTTGGTCTTGTGTCGCAGCAATTATACTCTGCACTTACTAGTCTACAAATGGGACTCGCAGAGGATAAGATGGGTTGGATTGTCAAGCTTAAGTGAGCTTCCAATCAAGAGTAGTATTTTCTGTTGGTGCAAAAAAATTTAACTTGGAAGTTTTCAAACACTTGTGATCCAGAGTGTATCTTGATTATTCAAAAAAAAAAAAATGGGAGCATTGCTTCAATATGTCTGTCGGCAAGATCCAGCTGTTTTTCTAGCTCTAAAGTTAGTGGCTCAAATAGCAATACCCCTTTGAATTTCCCGGAAATTTTGATAAATGGGTCATTTGAATTTCCACAACTTTTATAAATATAGAAGATGAGTTTGAGGAAGATGAAGGGAGGGGGGGGGGGGGTAGGGGGGGGGAGAGGAAAAGAGACGCTGGGGAAGGGTTTTTTCATTTTAAATTTATTTTATTTTTTTTTTGGTTAATTTGTGTTAAGTTTTAATTACAAATTACACGTGTCGTTCAATGATTGGCTCATTTGGCAAGTGTAACTCACGCATCTGGTATGCTGTACCAGGGTGTCTATTTGATTTACTTAACAGACACTTGAAGTGTCTACTTGATAAATAGGTATGTTGAGGTGTTCAAATGACCGTTGTGGACAACTTGAAGGGGTCATTTATGTATTTCGCCTAATTGTAACTCTAAACTCTTCTCCTGTTTTGAGAATTGTGTTGTAACAAAAGGGTATTATTCCTTCAAAAACACCTATAAATGTTGCGCCTATAGTTTTACTTTCGTGTAGCATTTCATCTGGCAATATCAGTAGACTTACACTATGGTTGCATCACATTAGCAAAACAAACATCACATGGAAATTTTTAAAAAGGGTGCATGTGGTTGCATAGCTAAAGTACATGATCGAACTGATTGATTTGTATTCCATTTCTGAAATGAGATATACACCAACTTCTTTAATCCAAATTAACCACTGCTAAATGAATCTAACAATCAGCAATCTGCATGACAATTAATTGAACGAAAACGAACTCTAGTTCTCACACAACTTTGAAAATTGTTCTCAGAAGTACAAGAAAATAGGTTTCACCGAGGAAATGAAGCACATTTCTTTTCAAAGAAAATAAATGTTTTTTATTACATTGGAGGATCGAGAAGGGAAAGAGGGAAAAGGGATAGTGAGAATTAAACCGACACCTATTGTATGACTGCAAAGTCAAAAGGGGTCTACTCATTGGATGTTGGAACTGAAAAAAAGGGCAAATAAGGACTAAGTGCTTACACGTAAATTGACTGAATCACGGTAGAGAATTTGATGTTCACAACATTTCCTCTGCCGCGTCTTTCTTTTCCCTTGTTTCTTGAGTGGCCATGAGCTAGGCCTGACTTCTAATAATTTGTCACCAGATTTAAGTTATTAAAAGACTTATCATCCAGGCGGGTGTTATGGAAATTTCACCTCTGTATGGACTTGTAAAGTACCACCGTCACATATTTGGACAGGAATCGATTAGTTGAACCAAGTGCTACCACAGACGGCGTACTCTTGCCCTTCTGCATGTAGAGATGGTTAAGTACCACATGTTGAGGTCTCGAGAGAGGAGGTGGAATTTCCATGTGAGATGACGGTACGTTGAGTAAAGTCATCTGTAGATGAGGCGGAACTAAAGGTGGCTCCTTGGCATAGTCCTCTGCTCCAAGTTGCAAGTTACTGTAGCTGGAATCTGGGGACTGAGGAGGTTCAAACCCAGAAATGCTTTCAATATCTTCTGGAACATAATCCTGCATCATGCATCAAAAAGCACAAGCTTTGTCAACTTAGCATTTAATCAGCCACAACCTTTGTCAACTTGTGACTTTTCAAAGCGAAGGGAATCAATTGGCCAGGAACTAAAAGACTTGAACACATTCCTCTTCTCATAGAGAGAGAGTATACTGTGCTCATTAGGACAATATCAAGAACATAGTCCAATGAAAGTTTGCCTACCCCAAAATGAAAAATAGGAAGTATTTTCAGACGAACCAGCTACGCTGATATGCTCACACTCTACGAACAAATGGTAACATATTTTTTACCTTTTAACAATCATCTAATCTTACCAAGTAGTTTTTTTTCTTCTTTTTTTCTTTTTGTTTATGGCAGAATGCTTGACATTTTTCTATATTCATGTTATTTTATATAGTTTTCACAAATTTCAAGTACTCAATTATCTCAACTAATCATATTTAAACTTGATGTGATATTTTCTATATCAAACTAACTTTTCACCTATTACTTTCATTAGTTCTTCTCTGCTAGATATAAACTATTTATAAAGTACACAAGTCAAATTTAGCATCTTATAAGTTCAGGAGCATTTTCTTTTCCGAAACCATTTTGAGTAGCAACAGGTTTGGGGGTGGGATGCAGTTGCTAAAGTAGGATGCATACGAGACATTCATAAGCCCAATTTCAAGCAGCAGCAACACAGTATTTGCTCTCTTTTCCTTTATGTTTTTTCTCTATAACTGGCGTAACAATAAGTCAATAACTACATATCGATCATAGAGTAGTTAGGTTGACTATACGAATATATCTATGTCACTCTAACAAAAAAGACTACTAGCAAAGCACATAAGGGTGTGGCCTAGTAATCAATAAAGTGGGTTGAGAACCAATGAGGGCTCAGGATCAAATCCCAGCAGAGACAAAAAAACTAGGTGATTTCTTCTCATTTGTCTGATCCTTGGTGGAGTACTGGTAGGAGGTAGTAGGTACCTTGTGGAACTAGTTGAGGTGCATGCAAGCTGGCCCGGACACAGTGGTTATTGAAAAAATGACTCCAAGCAAACCATTGGGTCAAGTGTAAGAACACAGCTAAACCTAAATCCCAACTGTTTGGTATCGCATATATGGATCTTTTGTTTTTTGAGAAAAGTAATGGTTTTATGTACATGCGAGCACAAAGATTGTGCCAAAATTACAAATGGATTCAGTTCCTTTACATTGCTAAAAGGAAGGTGAGAAAATCTAAAATCCTATCTACTGAGTTGGCATCGTCTAGTCTACACCAAAAAGCCAAAAAAGACAGGCATCTATGTTTCAGTATATGAATGTTTTCGTATTTGCTTTCAAAACATCATTGATCTCTTGCTTTCATTGTGTTCAACTCTTTGCTAAGTCCCCATGACTTTCAAGAAAGTATATGTCGTGTCTGGAGGTTAAAGGCAGCAAAATAATATGTAGACAGTACATTAAATTTATTGATGGCTAAATCTTGTATGCTTCTGATGAGAAGTGGAATAAATGAATTTTTACAAAATGAAAAAGATCAGATGTTAGGAAATTTTGCTTGCATGCATGAAGCACGATTGGCAGCGCTGTGAATATACAGCTGGGGAGAAAAGGAGGAAAATAGTAAAAGTATTCCCACAGCCCATTCCTTGATACTTCTGTATATATATCATTTTCTCCAAAAGAAAAAAAAGGCATTCAGATTGAGAGAGATCATTTCCATTAAGAACGGATCGTCCAGTTACAGTCTACTTTTTCAGTTTTTCACCAAACACTCCACACTGAAAGACTACACTATGGCCGTATTTACTAAGACGGGTAGAGATAGCTCTTCCATAATTTCTTTAATTCGTAAAGAACAGCTGGTCCCTCACTATAACATCATCCTCTAAGCAACTTGACAACATATCAATAGGTATATAATGAGACAAACTTTTTTTCAGTATAGATAATGAGGTCTACCTTAAATTAACCATAAACTTTCTTCTATGACTCTCAATGGCTACAGGGATCGGGGTTCAGCAAAACCTTCACCTGTGTTTTTCTCTACCATTGATTTGCTTAGACAAAACAGAAATCTCTTCAGGTTTTATCTCAAGGGCTCCCACGTTTCACAGTTTGTGGTGCTTTGACACCACTATATAACAACAAATTGCTGTTGAAGTTAAGGCTTTCTCAGAAAAAAGCTAGATTCAGCAGGTCGACTGTTTGGACCAAAACACTTTACAATCTATATCAAAGTCATTTTTGAACAAGACATGGATCCATATGCAGGGGCGGATCTAGCATGTTATCTACGGGTTCCCGTGAACCCAGTAGCTTTTGTCCAAACAGTGTAAATGTGT